AAGCAACAACAACAACAACAACAACAACAACAACAACAACAACAACAACAACAGCAACAGCAACAGCAACAGCAACAGCAGCGTCAACAACAACAACAGCAACAACAGCAGCAATATCGCTCCGCTCCCCGTGACGCCGCCACCGCGACTGCCGCCGACGCCGACCGTGCTCCCTACGATCGAGCCGGCCACAGGCGCGCGACGAAAGCCTTGCATCGTCGCTGGGTGCCTTCGACGCGCGCACGCACGACAACGCTGCGTGCGGCACGGCGGCGGGCGTCTCTGTGCTGTGCCCGAGTGCACGAGCCATGCGCGGACCGGTGGCGTCTGTTGTCGCCACGCGCAGGCACTCTCGCTAACCGACACCAAGAGCCTCGTCTTGTGGCCGCGGCCAAGTCTCGGGCTCGGTAGCCCCGTCACCGTCGTCGACGTCGCCGCGTCATTATTGTGCGTGGACCACGGTAGCCATGCCTCGCTCGACTGGCTCGGAACCTTCGAGTCGTCGTCGTCGTCATTTGGGCTCGTGGATCCGATGACCGACATTGGTTCCATGATTCTGCCAGACTTGGAGCTCGAGCTACTGGACTTTACCAGCACGACGACATAGAAAAAAGGGTGTTTGGCTAGTCGTCATAGTTACTAGTATACTAGTATTGTAGTTGTTTTGTCTATATAGATAGAATATGGTCTTGCTAGCTGGTCAAACTGTGGTTGCTGCATCGACGCAAGTGACGTTTCATTAGTACGCTGCAATCTGTAGTTGGCCGACCTTGTTGTTGTTGAAGTGGGTCGTCGTCTATTACTACGGATAAAACCACGCTAAATAGAATTGTCGTACTTTCTTAGTTGTGTCAGTTGAGGAACTGGATCTAGGCCCGCGGAGGCAGAAGCGCGTCCGCGGGACAAGGTGCTGGCGCGGCCACTCGTGTTGGGTGAGGAGCCGGAGAAGCCGACGAAGAGCAGGCTGCTTCGCCTCCACGTATGCAGTACTGCTGCCATTTCTCCAGGACCTGGATCATCATGGCCGTGCATGGATGATGATCGACGTCAAGAGCGTCTTTCATTGCATGCATGCTGTCTCTATATCAGAGTATACGTTATTTAAGTTCTCTCCATGCTTGAGCAGAAAGAATTCGCAGACGTAGAGACGAGCCATCGACTTTCTCGTCGCGTTCACGTGCTTTCGGGCCGAGACCGCGGGTCGTCGTCGGCTTGGTCCATTGATACATTGATAATTTATGCATGTACGTTGCTTCCAACCTACCGAGCTAAAACACACGGGTACGTCATTGTTTTTTTATACTTGGCCGTGCGCGCCCGGTGCCTCGGCGCCGCCCGCGCTTGGACGTGGGGTTAGGGTAGGGTAGGGTTGGTATGTCGAGGCATTTCTGGCTTGCTAGAGCAGAAATTAAACAATACATGACGTGGCATCCTACTCTATCAACTTTATATAAACGAATCTCCTCTTCTTTTGTCGAGATGCAACGACGAACGATTCAGGCGATACTCGATTCATCGTCGAGCTGCTTGCGCAGGCACAGAACCACGTCGGCCGCGGACGGACGCGCTGTCGGATCAAACGCCAAGCAAGACAGCGCGAGGCGCTTGTACCACTCGGCACAGTTGGCGCGGAGCTCGGGGCGGCGGGTGCCGGCGCGGACGTCGTTGAGCACCGCAAACGAGTTCATCGTTGTGTTTGTAAACGGCCGCTTGAGCGTATCCAGCTCGGCGAGAATGACGCCAAGCGAGTAAATGTCGGCCGACGGTTGGAGCGTCGCGCCCACATCGAGCGCTTCGGGGGCCGTCCAGAACGGCGGGCCGGCCGTCGTCCACAGCGCCTCGGTGCGAGGTCCCGCGATGCCGCCATGGGCCAGCTTGACGCCTTTTGTGGTGCTCAAGAGGACGTTGGCCGACTTGATTGCGCCGTGCACCAAGTCAATGCTATGAAAGTACTCGAGTGCTTGGGCGATTCCATATGCGATCTGGAGCTTGACGAAAAACGAGATCGTGGATGACGTCTTGAGCGCCATATCGAGGTGGGCGCGGAGGTTGCCCAAGTCCATGTACTCGAGCACAAGTTGTGTCTCGTTGTGGGCCAAGATGCGTACGACGTGCGGACTCGAGCATCTAAAAACACGGGTCAGCGCGACGACTCCAAGCAGCGGCGACGAAGTACGTACTCGATGAGGCGGCGGACGTCGCGCGGGCCAAGCGTGTGGAGCTCCTTGACGGCCACGACTTGGTCGCGGAAGATACCCTTGTAGACGGTCCCATCGACGCCGTGGCCGAGGACTGCGTCGCGCTGGACGTTAACGTCATCGTCGTTCAGTGGGCAGGCCATTGGTAAATGACCCGACGACTGACTGCAGCGGGCTGAAACAGGCGGCGGCGGCGTGGCCAATCCGCGGCGAGGTGCGCTGCTGCACCGAAATGATATCAGTGCGTACACTGTATTGCCACTGTACTGTAACTGCACATCTTGCATGAAATATGCATTTTGGGAGGTTTTCGGTGCTCGGCAAGTGTCGCCATCCGACGCGCGGCCGATCCGACGCCTGACGACGTGCAATGTTATATACTATCACACATGAACGGGCCGACGCTACGCCCAAGCACGAACGTCTCGGCTTGTACAGGCGCTGCTGCATTAACAACATGCAAGGCAAGAGCAAAGCTACTCGATTCCAAGTCGGTGGGCGATCGGCTCGTTGTCGTCATCATTCTTTGAGGCCGTTGCAACTGGCCCACCCATCATAGCGTCGACCATACAGTAATACTACAAAAGTACCACCTTGATAGCGGCATCCATGCTCTCGTCGGCGAGGTTTCACTGGTGCCGGTGACTTGATCTCTCTGATCAAGTAGCAACCATGCGTTGTGCGCTGACACCCCGCGATACGTCGTCATGTGACTTGCCGACTGCGTCTCCCACGCCCACCCCGTTCCTACTCATGGTTCCTACCATCGATCCACGACATCAGTTTCTGCAGGCGGTGCCAGAGCGCTTTTGAACCGCAGAGTTGCGCACGGCTGTGAGAAATATCGAACGCTGCCCATCGCGGTACATCTTGCACAGCACACGCCGACACTTCGAATTTTGGGCCACCGAATTCACATAAGGCTTCCAGAAGGCTCCCAGCACCTCCCGCCTTCAAGCGTGCGAAACCGTCGAGATGGCCTTTCCAGATTGCCTTTCTAGATTGCCTTTCAACGTCCAATAATGAGACGGTTTCGGGAAAGGCCGTCGAAAAGTTGAGTGGCAACAGCCAATGGCGGTGATGCCAGACGCACGCCACGCTAAGCGCCGCCGATGCGACCACGTCGCGCTGCACGTCTTGCTCGACTCAACCCTTCTCGTGCAGCTCATCCAGCCGTACCAAGACGGTCTCTTCAGCGAGCTCCGCCCACGCTACGCCGAGTGGCGACTCCTCGCCTTGCGCCACACCACCTTTGCGTACGCGATTGGCCCGATTCCCGCGCGCTTCCGCGAGGACTTTGCCGCCAAGCGGCCGCTCGACACGCTCTGCATCGACAGCATTGGCGATGACCGCTTCGTGCTCCACGTCGCGATCCGCGAGGGCAATTTGCCGATCGTGCGCCGGTGCGCCATCAATGCGCCGTCCCTGCTCACGCCCGCTGCCATTGCGTGTGCGAGCATGCACGGGCGCCTCGAGATTGTCCAGTACCTCCACACAGTGCATGGCTGCGCGCCGACGCAGCCCTCGCTTGATATGTCTGCCACGCACGGCCATCTCGCGATCGTGGCCTACCTCACCGAGTATACCGCGTGCACGGCGACGGTCCATGCACTCGACGGCGCCGCGGCCAACGGCCACTTGGACGTCGTGGCGTACTTGGATCGCATCCGCGGTGAAGGCGCGAGCACGCGTGCCATGGACAGAGCTGCGGCCAACGGTCACCTCGACGTTGTCGCATATCTGCATGTCCATCGCGTCGAAGGCTGCACGCGGGACGCCATGGACGAGGCTGCGATCGCGGGCCACCTCGACGTCGTACAGTTCCTCCACGAGCACCGACGTGAAGGCTGCTCTGTCGATGCGCTCGACGGCGCGGCGGCGCGCGGCCATCTCGAAGTCGTCCAGTTCCTCCATGACAACCGGCATGAAGGCTGCACGCAAGACGCCATGCACGCCGCGTGCGCGCATGGCCACTTGGACGTACTTGAGTTTCTGCATGAGAACCGTGACGAAGGCTGCTCGGTCGAAGCCATGGACAGTGCTGCGACCTTTGGCCATCTCGACGTGGTCCAGTTTCTGCATGTCCATCGACGGGAAGGGTGCTCTGCGATGGCGTGGCGCGGCGCGTTTGAACGGGGGCATATCCCGGTACTGCAGTTTCTCTGGCGATGGTATCGACCGCAGTGTAGAGTTGCCGATGCCCACGAGCTCGGGTGGTGTTAGAGCAATGTGTTGGAGCGTACTACAAGTATAAAATGCTACCCGTTGCACATGTGGTATAATGATCTACGATTGACGTCGCCCTCGTCGGTGCTTTGTGTCCCAAAGCTCTAAAGATGCACGCTGCGAATTGAAGGATGCCAAGGCAAAATGTCGGAAATCAAATGTCGCAATTGGATAGGATATCAAGGACATAAACGTCGTATCATTAGGCAACATGAAGATGATGCACGCTACGCAGAGACCGAGAGATTTAGTAGTTGTCATCGTGCGAGCCCGAAGACGAAGGGCACGGCGGCTTGGTGTGCGGGTGCTTGGTGTGCGGATGCTTGGTATGCGGATGCTTGGTAGGTGCCTCTGTCGGCGCATCGCTGGGCTCGTCGGTCGGCTCGTCTGAAGGCACATCCGTAGGTTCATCGCTGGGCTCATCGCTGGGCTCATCGCTAGGTTCATCCGTAGGCTCGTCACTGGGCTCACCACTGGGCTCTTCTGTCAGCTCGTCGGTGGGCTCATCACTAGGCTCGTCAGTCGGCTCGTCACTGGGTTCGTCGGTGGACTTAGCACTGGGCTCGTCATCGGGGGCGTCGGTGGACTCATCCGTAGGGGCCTCGGTAGGGTACTCTGTCGGCTCGTCTGTCGGGACCTCCGTCGGTAGCTCGGAAGGCACCTCCGTCGTGGCATTGGGGGTTGGCTTGGGGTGCTTCGTGTGCGGGTGCTTGGTACGCGGACGCTTCGTGCATGGACGCTTCGTGTGCGGGCGACTCGTCGGGTCATCGGTCGGCTCATCGGTCGGCTCGTCCGAGGGCTCGTCAGAAGGGTACTCGGTCGGCTCGTCGGTCAGCTCGTCGGTCGGTTCATCGGTCGGCTCGTCGGTCGGCTCATCGGTCGGCTCGTCGGTCGGCTCGTCGGTCGGCTCATCGGTCGGCTCGTCGGTCGGCTCGTCCGAGGGCTCATCGGTCGGCTCATCGGTCGGCTCGTCCGAGGGCTCGTCGGTGGGCACTTCGGTCTCGTCGCCCGCGGGGTCCTCGGTCGGATACGCCGTTGGCGAGTCCGTCGCGTTGCCGCCGTTGAGGCACGCGGCTTTGGTCGGGTTCTCGCTCGTAAAGATTGCAGTCGCAAACCACTTGCCGCTCGTCGGCGACTTCTTGACGCCAAAGCCGACGTGGTTGTAGCCGCGGTTGAGAATGTTGGCGCGGTGGCCCGCCGAGTTCATCCAGCTCGTCGTCATCGTCTTGGCGCTGCCTTCGTAGTCGTACAACGTGTTTTCGCCGCAAGCGACGTTGCCGATGGCCTTGCAGCGCTCGTCAAAGCCGTTGTGGTCAATGTTGTCAATGCCAATCTCATAGTCGACATGGCTCGCGCTGAGTGCGTTGAGCTGCGTGTCGAGGCACGTGAACGGCGCGAGGCCATTCTGCGTGCGCTGCGCGTTGTGTTCCATGAAGAGGTCCTGGACGACGTCGCCGGCCGCGAGCACCGCGAGCGCAAGAATGAGCTGCACTTGCATGACAAATGAAATTGGAAAATGAGTCCAGGCTCGTGGTCGACCATGATGAGAGCGATGTCGGCCTTTCCCACTTTGCACATGGCGGCGAGGCACGTCGTTGGCCGTTCGTACGCGCTGGCGGCGCTTCGAAACCAGCTTGCGTCGTCATGGAAGAGTGTCCTAATGCAAATAGCGTCGTCGTGCATCCAACAGATGACGTGTCGTCACGACGTTGGATGCAGCTGTAGGTCACGGACCAATGACGTGGCGTCGCGTGCGCTCAGGGATGTTGAATGCTGTACATGTACTGTACCGCCCTCGAATCTGTTTGCAAACGAACCCGCAAAATGAAAAAACTGGACGGTATGATACGTATACCAGCGCTTTTGTCGAGAAGTCGCATCAAACAGACTTGTTTTCCAGAAGTTCGTAGCAGAAAAATCTCGTTTCCAAAATGCATGGTTCCAATCGCTTGTTTCGACGTCGAACCATGCTTGCAATACGCTTCAATACCGCATGCGTCATCTGGATGTACCGTGCCGAACATTCCCTACGTTGTGGAAAATCCTACAAAAATCGTAGAGAGTACCGACGGAAGTGCGCAATCTGGCACGTCGATTGCACATTTATTTCCGCTTGACGCACATCCATTTCCGTTCACCGCGCTATATTTTACAGCGACCGAACTTCGTCCGAACATTGAACTGCATAATTTCTAACGACAAATTATAACCATTCTGGGTTCTTTTCGCACCAGGGTCGGCGCGGCCCTGCGGGCCTACCCGCCTCCACCTGGGCGACCCATCGATAATGAATTCTTCTTACGTGAAAGACCGGGGCTCGCTCCTTGCCAAGGCACGGCCTGCACAAAAGCCAACACGCCACCTCCGCTACGCTGCGGTGCGCAGGCTTTTCTGGGCCGATGCTCTGTCGTCGCTCGCAGCATTGTGGTCCGAGATGTTATACAACGTTACGTTTATTGCGCGGTGGAGTGTGCGAGCGACGTAAGAAATAGTTCGGTAGACAGCAAAATATTGTGCGGTGACCGGAAATAAATGTGCGTTGAACGGAAATAAAAGTGCAATCGACGTGCCAGATTGAGCACACACGGTAAGTACTCGTAGACTTTGAAAAAACAGCAAGAAGATAGCAATCCGAGTACGCCCGCTGGCGCTGGTATCCAGCAGCTATTTTGGTGACCAACATTGAAGCTCGCATTCAACCACTTGCATGATACTACAGTAGTACCAGTAGGAATGATTGCCAACGAGGACCTCGTTGGCCAATCAAACGCTAACGTCAAAAACACATGTTTTATACACCACGCCAAAAGTGATAGCTCAGGGAATACGAAGTACCCTTTGCTACTCGGTGGTGCGCAGCGCTCGCTGGAGTGTTGATGGAGGGTGCGTCTTGTGGTGGTGGTGGTGGTGGTGGTGCTTTGTCGTTGCAATGCTGGTGCCAACAACAGCTTCGGCAGCGCTTTGGACGCAACTCGCCTCCTTGTGGGGGTTGGCACTGGCAAAAAGCGCGGTGGCAAACCACTTGCCGGTCGTGCTCGACTGCTTGACGCCAAAGCCCGCATGGGTGTAGTTGGCGTTGAGGATGTTGAGGCGGTGGGGCGGCGATGCCATCCAGCTCTCGGTCATTGCGCTACCGTCGTCGACGTAGTCGAAGAGCGTGTTTTCGCCACACAAGACTCGGTTGCTCACACCCAAACAGCGCGCGTCAAAGCCATCGTGGTTGAGTGCGCCTAGACTCACTTCGTAGTCGGCGTGGCCTTGGCTGAGCGTATTGAGCTGGCTATCGAGACACGCAAACTCGGGAATGCCGTAGTGCTTCCGGGCGACGTTGTGGGCGTCGAAAAGATCCTGCACGATATCGCCAGCGACAAGCGTACTCCAGAAAAGGACAAATGCTGCGTACATGGCCAATGTGAAAATGCTTCGCCCATCAGCTCGTTCTCGGAGATGGAATAGAGACTTGCAGTCTGGAGGAGATAGGTCCTGCTATGCTGGGTGATGTTCGTGTGCTGGACATGAGATTCCGAAATAGGTGCGTTTTAGTGGCTAAAAGCACCTCTTTGGGTGCGCATTGAAGTGCAAACTTTAAATCCGGTGCGTTTCGATGCCTCACGACGCAGGGGGCAAAGCAATCGAAGCCGTGTGCAACCTTTAGTGCAATAGCATTGACGGGCGCATGGCCCAACGTTCTGGCAAGTGCATTCTCCTTCGAACGATGCGCGTTTCGAGAGGCCCCTTTGACGTCATCATCGCTTTCTGTGCATGTAAGCAAGCTTGATGCAAGGTTGCTAAGATCTTCACTGAGTGAACAGTCGTTCAGGCATGCGGCTACTTGTATGGCACACCGCATGAGGCCTATCTGAGGACTAGTACATACGCCGATTGTTGGTGAGGGCTTCACGGGATGGATCTCTCAGTGCGCAGCTCACTCCCAACGACCAAGTGCTGGAGCCAACTCCCACGCATTCAGGCGTAGCACTACGTATGCGAAGTCTTTTGAGTTTGTTTTTGCAGATTTGATTGGCTTAAGCTAGCAGAGCTCGTCTATTGATGGAAGATACTGTGCGTTCGCGGGTAGCTAGTGTAGACGTCTACAGCGTAGCAGACAGCAAGCGTACAAACTGTTCAGACAATTCTTTCGGAGGCTCATCGGTGCTGTGTCTTGGCCATGGTCAATACTTTACCTCGTTTTGTCGTATGCCAAGGTATTAACTTGATGTATTAACTTGATGTACTAACTGGAGATGCTCAAACGTTAACAAAACATGTAAATGGCGACGTTTCTTTGGAATTTAAAAGCATAAACGCAATAGGCAACGAGTCGCACGGTCAGCGGTCGCACCAAGTGCCTCGACCACATGGGGTTCGACGTCGTCAGGAAACTTATCCAGGACGAACGGAACGTCGTGGATCATGGCGAGCGCGCGCAAAATCGAGCGCGTGTCCTCTGCACTGTCGACCCGCCGCGTGCGCCGTCCGTTCTGCGACTTGATCGTCTCAAAGGTCAGCTCGTGGACGTGGCGGCCCGCGGCGACGAGCTCCATGAGGATGTGCAGCAGCTCCTGCAGCTTCATTCGGTTGTGGGCGGGTGAGACATCCAGCGACGTTAGCTGCGGTACGCGCGATGCGGCAGCCAGCACCGCCGCGACACCATCGCGGCGCATGGCGTGTTCGTTCAGACTAAGGTGTGTCAAATGGACACACGCAATGGCAAGCGCCTCCATGAGCTGTACTGCGACGTCGGCCGACGCCATCGCACTTTTTTCAAGGGCAAGCGAAATGAGCGCCGGGACCGTCGACAAGCCAGCGATGAGTGCATCGACACCGTCGGCCGGCAGCCCGTGGACCTTGAGCGACTGGAGTTGTGCTAGCATTGGTGCTGCGGCCGGGCAGATCGCGACTCTGCCAAAGACGCTGCAGCCAAAGTGTTCAAGCTTTGTTGGGCCCACGGCGATGGCGAGGTGCTCGATCGTCGCGTCGTCGACGTGGGGGTCGTGGAAGCGGGCGTTCCATTCGAGTCGTTCCATAGACGACGGGAGCGTGCGCCCGCGAAAGTCCATGAGGTTGGCGACACGGTGGAGCGCGAGATTGTTGAGCGACGTGTTGGCTTGAAGCGCGTCACAGAATGCAATTCCCGCAGCGTCGTCCATGTGCGCGATATCGCGCAGGTTCAGCATCGTCGTTGGGGCTCTCGAGAGCCAGGACGCCAGATAATGCCCGAGCCGCGGTGTCGCATGGGCGCCCTCTAGAAAGAGCATTATCTGCTCGACGCGCGGGTGGGCGACGGCCGCCAGCAGATCGCTGAGCTCGACGAGCTCGTCGTCATTGATGTTGTTGCGGAGAGCCACGACATTGACCAAAATCTCGCGCAAGCACGGGCACTCTTGCAAGAGGAGGTTCGCGATCGTTTGGCCTTGGCCGTTGATCATGAGGGTGTCGTCGAAAGAAAGGTCAATGTAGCTCAGCGCGGGCCCGATGCTCGGGACAAGCTGGGCCAACGGCGCCGCTTCGTAGATCGGGCATTCAATGTCGATACGCAAGCGCAGCGACAGCGTCTTCACCAGCATCGGCAGAACCTCGGGCGGCACGTTCGTCTCGGTGAGCACCAGGTGGGGCCAGTCGCTGTAGACGCAAGACGTTGCCAAGGCTCTGACGCTGACAAAGGCTTCGAGCGCCGGCGTCCAGAGCGAGCGGGGCACCGCGTCGAGAAAGGCTGTAAAGTCAACACTCATGTAGAAGGACGTGGCAATTGCCTCGATCACATGCGGGAGGAGGAGCCCGGCCGGCGGCGTCGCACGGCCCTTCTTCGTGCCAGGCATGCTCGGAAAGTGCACTTGTCAGAAATTGGGTGACCATCTCGAACATGATTGGTGGAATATCGTGGAAAATCCACCCATCAAACCGGTCCACTCCATGGTGATGATGGGATATGATGGGATTCCCTTAATGCACAAACCACGTATTCGACGCTACTAGTAATACCAGTGTCTTTTGTGCTATAGCAGACTATTATAGCAAGGGTGTGGAGATCGCAACCGAATAAAACTGTGGCGCTACCTCGTTATTGTTTGTGGGTCTGTCGATCGAGTGCACCGTGCAGTCCTTAGTCGCCACCGCCTTTCTCTTTGGAAACTCGAATTGTAGCTAGTGTAGGCGGCTCAGATAGCAACCAAAGGGTACCGGTATACCATCGATGGCGATATCAATGCAGTCTACCCGTACTAGCAGCTCTGTGCTAAACGTTGGTTGTCAAGTCGCTCGCTTGCCGTGAGCACAGTCCTCTGTCGCGGTATGAAAATATTCACGTCAGCTATTCACGTCGTCATAGTATCGTTGGTCCGAGGGAACATGTAATATCAACTTGATATGTGCTTAGTTACTTGAATGTTAAAAAACAAATGCAATCGACAACGGTCCGCACGGTCGGCGGTCGCACCGAGCGCCTCTACCACATGGGGCTCGACGTCGGCTGGAAATCGATCCAGGACAAACGGAACGTCGTGGATCATGGCGAGTGCGCGCAAGACAGCGCGCTTATGCTCTTTGTCGTCGCCGAGTGGCGAGCGGTCTCCATTGATGGTTATTTGTCGCATCGCCGTCTTCAAGTGGAGCTCCCGGGCGTGGCGGCCCGCAGCGACGAGCTCCATGAGAATGTACAGCAGATTTGGCAGCGCCATGGCATTGAAGCGTGGCGACACATCCAGCCACGTCAGCTGCGGCAAGCGCAGTGCGCCAGTCAGCACGGCCGCGACGCCATCGTGGTACATGGCGTGTTCTTTCAACTGGAGGCGACTCAGACGCGTGCACGAGGTCGCAAGCGCCGCCATGAGCTGCACCGCCGCGTCATCCTTGGCAATCGCGCAGTGCTCAAGCCCCAGCGTGGTGAGCGCCGGGACCGTCGACAAGCCAGCGATGAGTGCCTCGACGCCGGCGGCCGGCAGCGCGTGGACTTCGAGGCACGTCAGTTGGGCTAGCATCGGTGCGGCGGCCATGCACTGCGCAAGTTTGCCAAAGACGCTGCAGCCAAAGTGATGTAGCTTTGTTGGGCCCACGGCCATAGCCAGGTGGTTGATCGTTGCATCATCGACGTTGGGGTCGTGGAAGCATGCGTTCCATTCGAAATGCCGCAAGGATGTCGGAAGCGTGCGGCCGCGGAAGCCCATGAGGTTGTCAACACGACTGAGCACAAGCGTGTCAAGCGTCGTGTTGGCTTGAAGCGCGTCACAGAATGCCATCGCCGCGTCGTCGTCCATGTGGGCGACGTCGACCATGTCCAGACTCGTTGTCGGTGCAGTCGAAAGCCACGCTGCCAGAAAATGCCCGAGCCGCGGGGTCGCACGGACGTCCTGCAGATCGATCGTGAGTCGCTCGACGCGCGGGTGGGCGACGGCCGCGAGCAAATTGCTAAGCTCAATGCGCTCATCGTCGCCGTCGT